AGATATCATCGCCCTTATGTACTCCGGCTTGTCCTTTAACAGATTAAGCGCCATGTAATTTTTATCAAACTTTCATCTGGGTCACCATGTTTTTTTGACAATTCACATCTTTCAGCATGTAATTATTAGTTTCCCAATTTTTCCTCATTTTTGATATTCAAGTCACACAAAAAATGAGAGCGGACACCCGTGTCCGCCTTGGCCTCCAGATTACTCCTAGCAGACACGGGTGTCCGCTTTGGCCGTCACAAAAATGCTTTCACCGATCGGACACGACTTTCAACGAGGTGACCGCTGATAGTATTTTACAAGCTACGACAAGTTTCCTATTCAGTTTGTGATTTTGAACTGATCGGTGTGGTTGTTTTGTAGATATTATTCGATAGTATCAGTATGAGCAGCCGTACAAAACGAATTGTGGTCTTGGCTATGGCAAAAAAGGACGATGGTGAGTCTCTTCACAAATATTTGGTAAAAGAATTTCCAGTCATTGTTTTCAACAGATGATAATTCTGAGTTCTCGAGTGATCCTTTGCGGACGATTCGTTCGATGATCCTGGGTATCTACCAACAGGCACAGATAAATCTTACTGATGATAGTAATTTTGAGAGTGACCAATCTCAAAGATTCCCAGAGGACAACCACGACTCATCTCAGCAAGTCGCAGATACCACAATGAATGTTGAAGGTGTGATTCATTCAGAATTCAATATGAGTCGATCAGAAGATGAGATGAATACAGAAAATGTTGAAAAACAAACTTCACCTCAAGATTTACACACTTCTGTTTGGGATATTCCAAGAGGAGAGCATTCACGTTTTGAAGAAACATTTGTGGGGGGCATACATCCTCAATATCATGCAGCATTACAAGGAAATAGACCTATCGACTATTACTTGGCTTTCGTGTATTGGAATATAATTGACATGATAGTCGATGAAACCAATAATTATGCCACCCAGATGCTTTTAGAAGATGAGACTATATCTAACAAATCTCGATTACATGCGTGGGAACCCACCAATCGTAAAGATATAATTCATTTACTAGGTCTTCTTAGTTATATGGGCATTGTTTCGTTGAATTCAATCAAAGGCTACAAAGTAGATTTTCCAAAACGAGGTTGCCCCAAGCGTAATGAGCCGAAATAAATTCGAGTTGTTATTGAAAAGGCTCCACTTCTCTGACAACAATCTGTCAACTGCGTCGAATGCCTTTTGCATATTATAAACAGTTCGCTGACTCTCAGACACTTCCCCAGAAGGTGGAAGCATGCGATCGTCGTCATGATCCCAAAACAGGATCAGAACCCGCTGTTCCCACAGAACTATCGCCCGATTAGTCTACTCTCGTCGGCGGCTAAGCTGGCTGAAAGAGTTGTTCTCCAAAGGCTCAACGAAGAAGTTGAGGACCGAAATGTTCTGCCTGATGAACAATTTGGCTTCAGGAGAGAACACTCCACTGAGTGACAGGCTCTAAGGCTGGTCGAAAACACCATCCAAGAGTTGAATAATTATAAAAAAGTGCACATTGTACTGTTAGACATCTCGAAGGCTTTCGACCGTGTATTGAACGAAGGGCTTCTGCACAAATTAATCGCGTTCGACCTACCTCGGGGCCCGATCCGGTGGATTGGGTCTTTCCTGAAAGACAGAACATTTCAGGTTAGAGTAGAGGGCTCTCTGTCTGACAACAGAGAGATCCTCGCTGGAGTGCCACAGAGGGCCGTGCTCTCTCCGACGTTGTATTCACTTTACACCAGTTACTTTACGAGGCCAGAGCGTGTGAAGATATCCTTATACGCCGATGACACGGTTCTCCTCTCGTCTTCCATGGGTCGAGAGTTCGGCGTCGTCTATATACAAGGTGCATTGGAGGACTTCGAGCGCTGGTACCTCGATTGGAAGATCCGAGTGAACCCGGACAAGACTCAGGCGATAACCATGGGAAAATTGCTATCTTCTCCGGCCAGAAAAGTGAGAATCTCTGGAAGGGAGATTGACTGGCAAGCGGGGGTAAAGTACCTCTGTCTTCTAAAAGACCGTAGGCTCACTTGGAACCCGTCAAAGATCGAGGGTTGGATAGCAAGTCTGTACTCTCTGATCAACAGAAAATCTAAAATGAGTTTGAAGAACAAGATTACCATCTACCATATGTATGTTTCAGGCGTCTGGGGACAAGCGGCGAAATATAATATCTCCATTCTGGAGGTACTGCAAAATAAGCCAATGAGGATGATTGTGAATGATCCTTGGTTCGTGCGGAATGAAGCCATCCGCAGAGATTTACAGCTGCCTTCCATTCGGCAGTCCATTCAGTCGAGGAATCGACGAGTTTTTGATAGCGCTATAGATTATGATGTAGACGACCCCTCCCGATATAGAAGCACCCGACACTCTGTCGAATGAGGCCCTCATGTACTCCGTTAAGGGACGAATAGACTTTTTATCCATCCCACCCCAGCCAGGTAGGGGTACCCCGTGAAGGGCGGTACTGATGTCTGAGGACTTCATACCGCCAATATTCCCTCAGTCCTTCGACAAAAATCAGCTAAAAGGGTAAGGGAGCTGGGCTCAAACCTGAATGAACTCAAGACGACGTGCAGGACAACACTCTGTGTCTGGAAGGAGATCGCTTATATATAATTCAGCCATTGCCAAAACGTTCTGTATAGACGAAATCATGATACATTTTCAGGGAAGATTGTTTTTCAGACAGTATAATCCACAGAAAACCCATAAATATGGGATCAAATTGTTCAAATTGTGTTCAGAAAAAGGATATACTTGGAATATAAACATATATGCAGAACAAAGATAATCCGAAGAATAAAGAAAAACCACAAAAATTGTTTTAGATCTGGCACATGATCTCTTGGAATGCGGCAGAGTATCTGTCACCGATAATCGGTATACCAGCCTGCAACTAGCCCTCATATTATTGGATAGAAAAACACACTGCCTTTGAACATTACGTAGTAATCGAAAAGGAAATCCCGCTGAAGTCACGCAAAAGAAACTAAAAAAAGGTGAAATTGTTGCCAGAGAAAATGAACGAGGAATAAGTCTGCTCAAATAGCGAGATAAAAGAGATGTCTTGATTTCGTCTACATGTCATACTGGCGAAACTGTACAAATCCACCGTCGTGGAACCGTCAAAAACCAAAAGCAGTCGTCGATTATAATACTGGCAAAGGTTCCATCGATTTATCGGATGAAATGTCGAGTTACAGCATAGCTCTTCGAAAGACCATACGATGGTACAAAAAATTTGCCATTGAGCTACTTTTGGGTACCACAATTGTGTTCGAAGAACAACAGATTGTTGCTCCTTGCCTACCTGTAAGCCTGAGAGCTCATACTCTATCGAAATTAAATTGTAAAGCTCGTGAAATGCGAAAATACTGCAAGGATTGTTATAAAAAAACCCGACGGTATTATAGTAAAAAATAAGGTAAAAAAGTCATAACTTTTTGTGTTCAATGTGAAGGAAATCCTCGATTCTTTTTGGAATGTTTCAACGCCTTCCATAAAAGTCATTGAAAACCTCGACATAAAATTTTTACTTCTCATTCAATTCCTTTTTTATTTCTTCCTATTGAATAATTTTCATTGAATGGTTTCGAAATGTCCTTGAAAAATATGAATAAACTTGATTTACGTTCTATTGCTTTCTGTCACCTTCCAAAATGATATCGAAAACCTGACACCAGCGTTCTCTAGCAAAAGGCCATAGCAGACACCAATACCTATTGTCGGTCGGACACCAGTGATCTCCGTGGCTCAGTTGGTTAATACTATGGCGGACACGGGTTTCCCCTATGGAAAGACTTGTAGTTTCTGGACAGTTGAGTCCAGCAATGCATTTGTGGTTCAGTCTAGCACCACTGATAAAACCTATCATGATACAATATAATGTATGAAGGGACGGTAGCCGGTTGATCAGCGTGATTGGTAAAAAAATAATACTTCGGTAATCCTCGTACAAGTTTCAACTTTTGAGGGTTGACGTTCGTAAGGAGGCAACAGCTGGTTAACTGAAAAACAGATTCAGTAGACCAGATATCACCAGTAATTTGTCCTCGATATTGTCTAATAAATGTTTTATGTAATCAAGCTAGAAAATATTAATATCTTTCATATAGTATTGGTAGATAGCACTCCCTACCCCTACATATACCATTGATCTAGATCTGGTACATAATAAAAATGTTCATTTCATTTCAAAGAGAAAAAGTTAAAATGTTTATTATATGTTCATAATAATATTAGAATTATCCAATCACAAAACCTCTTTATTCAAAACCGAGTTATCTGAAGGTGTTTCCAACATGTTGGGTGAAACGTTTCCAGTAGGATCAAATTAACGTTTATCACGTTACCAGTCCACAAATATCTATAGGCATAAATGCATTTATTGCTATACAAACATATAATGTTGTGTTTAACTATCGTTAACGCCTCGAAAGCGGATGTTGGAATATTTTTTGTACGCTTGGCGCTGTTTTGTTTTCTTTAAGGCACGCACTGGGAAAACAATCATACGCTTATTTTATTTTTCATTTTGCCGTTTTTCAGAACATACGGGCTTGCGATCGAATTACGTACGTGATTGTTTCTCTACCGGATATATCCCTTAAGAGACTTTAGTTGGAATTTTTTCTGTTTGAAAGTATCACGCCAAAATGGTAAGAGAAGGTTGTTTCCGATTTCCTGAACTTCATTAAGATTGCTGTAACATTTTTCTATGGCCCAAGTATTATATTTGAAGCACATCATAACAATTTTTTTAAATAATCATAATCGACCTTTTCTCTTATTTTATATATTCTCGTTTCATATAATATTATACATTTGTTTAAATTGAAAATGTATATGTACCAACATTCAATTATATATATTTATCGATTGTAGTTCGGTAGAGTAAATTAATAACAATGAATTATAATTCTGTATTCCGCAAAGTAGACCTCTCTCTTCAGCTAAAATATTTTTTCAGGGTTGGGTTTAACTCCAGAATACCTCAGTGCTAGAGGATTGACGGAACTTCACCCGTCATCTACCCTGGCTAGTACCGAGTTTCCCTTTAGCATAGACGGTAAGAATATTTTACTTAGTTTTTGTCTTTCATATTATTGTGATGAGCCATATTAGTTTAGTCAGGTAGTTGTTTTCTTTTAACTTTTTTTATAACTAAAGTTTGCAAGTTATTTACTCTGAAAATAACTTCAACTTGAATGTTTTGTATTGCAAAGACGAGTGTATTCTGTTTCAACGTATCAATTATTTTGAAAAAAGCATATTTCTCCAGATATAAATTATTTGATTCGGAAACTTTCATAGTGGGACAGGATCATGAATCAAGTGTAGTTTCAAACCAATTTTTTTTTCATTCGTTTGTTTGTTTGTCACACTAACATTATAACAATTTTTTGAAATGTGCGCAAACTGGCAATCTGCTTCACTAATTGCCATATCATTATCATCACAACACCGGAAAAACTGTTGATTCAAAACGAACTATTCACTTTATTTCATATTAATCATATATTTTGAATCGTTGATATTGATCTTATCGTCATTTAATTTATATTATTATCAGTGCATTGATTTTTAAAACGTGATTTCACCTAAACTTCCAATAGTTTATCGAATACGATAATGCCCACTAATGAATTATTTTCAAAAAACTTACTTTATTTTTCTCTATCAACTAACATCACCCACTTTTTTCCAGGTTCAAGGCTCAACAGTCCGCGCCCTGGCAGTATACGAGCCTCGCGAAAGCGCGCTCTCTCTTCATCCCCCTATTCGGACTCGTTCGACATCAATTCCATGATCCGATTCTCCCCAAACTCATTAGCATCCATCGTAAATGGTTCGAGATCCTCTAGTGCAAGCGGATCGTATGGCCATCTTTCGGCCGGGGCTATCAGTCCAGCCCTGGGCATGCATCCAATGCACTTACAGCAACTTCAAGCCCACCTGATGCGCAGCTCAGGGTCACTACTACCTCTTCCTCCTGCAGCTCCGCCCCCTCATCCTATGTACTCGCTTGGACATCATCCCCTGCACATGACTCATAGTATTTGTAAGACTGATGTAAGTTTCAAAATAATTTGAAAAAACATCAAACAAGGAATGCGAGTGTACTAATTGTATGATATTTTTGTCTTTATAGAATTTAAATGACAGAAAAAAGTCTGAAAGTAGTACAATAACCCAACTCGATGTGGAATCCACGATCTCCAGAAAATCCAAAGTGAAAAAAGAAACTTCCCTCCATCCTTGTGGCCCAAATGATGGCCAGACTGATCCCACGGATCTCAAAGATGAACCAGGAGATTTCATAGAAACAAACTGCCATTGGAAGGACTGTTCCACAGAGTTTGGAACCCAAGAAGAGTTAGTTAAGGTACTTAAGCATCTAGAAAATAGTAGTATGATTGATTCTGGAAAACCCAATAATTGTTTTTGTTGTCTATCACTGAAAGTACAATTGAAACTTCTGGTTGAATATATTCACAAATATCTTCACATTTTTCAGCACATCAATAATGATCACATACATGCAAACAAAAAATCATTTGTGTGCCGATGGGAGGGTTGCTCACGAGCTGAAAAACCTTTCAAAGCCCAGTATATGCTAGTGGTACACATGAGAAGACATACTGGCGAAAAACCACATAAATGCACGGTAGGTTTACATTTCAGTGACGACATTACATTATATATAAATTAAGATTAATTGTTTGTTAACTACATGAAAATTTCAGTTCGAAGGGTGTACCAAGGCATATTCACGATTGGAAAATCTGAAAACTCACCTCAGATCTCACACTGGAGAAAAACCATATACTTGTGAATATCCCGGGTGTGCGAAAGCTTTCAGTAATGCATCCGATAGGGCAAAACATCAAAACAGAACACACAGCAACGAGGTAAGTAATGTACATGTTATAACTTGTAAAGTTTTAATCCTTTCTCAATCTAACTGCTTTCATAGTTGGAAAATTTGTAAGTAAAAGAAACAATGCATGTTTTTGTTGCTTGCATAAATGATTGCAATTAATTTTCATGACAGGAGTCTATATCTTTCTCTTGTCATTTCCAGAAACCATATGTTTGCAAAGCCCCAGGCTGCACAAAACGGTACACAGATCCAAGTTCTCTGCGGAAACACGTGAAGACAGTTCATGGCGCTGAATTTTACGCCAGCAAGAAACACAAGGGCTCCGAGCAGAGCTCAGATGATGGACCTGCAGGTCTTGATTCCAGCCCACGAAGTGAAGACCTGCAAAGTCATAAGACGACCAGCCTTAGTAGCCCAAGCATCAAGTCTGAGTCAGATATTAATTCCCCTGGCCAGCATCAACAAGGAAGTCCTCTTGAAACTACCCAACTTGCCGGTAAGTCTTCATAAACTGCTAGGTTATTGGTACTTATTAGATTTTTTCATAATTATTTATTTAGAATTAAGGATAACTATATAATATCTTTCACTTCTAATTATTTTAAACTCGCCATTTATTACCTTTTATGTTTTTCCTATTTATATATGAAATTGAGTATTTCCGGAAATAATGACATTGAATTTTGAATGAATATTTTTTCTAGGGCAAGGAGGATTCAACGATGATCTTTCCGGTGATCTGGGCAGCAATTTACAACCTGGGGATGATCCTTCGTGGGCCTACGATGCTGAAGACTTGGAAATCGATGAATTGCCAGTTGTCTTGAGAGCGATGGTTGGAATAGGAAGTGACAGAGGTGGGCTAGCAATATCAGAGAGAACGCCGAGAGTGCGCATGAAACATTTGGCCAAATACAAGCCCTCGAACATACCTACGGCAAACAACCAGAGAAAGAATATTGCCGATCTCAACAGGAGGATAACAGACTTGAAGATGGAGGGAAAAGGTATTAATCAATCATAGTTTCTGAAAAAGTAGAGTTCTCACCAATCTGGAAGTCAATCTGCATAACTTTGTAAAACTCCCAATCAAGTAAATTTCATATTTTGTTTTTGTTATAGGTAGTCTGACGGGCTCCCCTCAATTAAAGACCCAATTTACTGATATTCAACAACGCTTACAACCCGCAGTCAATACGCAAATTCAAATAAGAAGGGAAAGTAACTCCACAGTAAGCTCTTACTATGGAAGCATGCGCAGTGCAGATATGAGTCGTAAGAGTAGTCTAGCGTCACAGGCGTCAAGTATGAGACCCGGAATGGCACCTGGGTCTCTTTATGATCCCATTTCTGTTGGAAGTTCACGAAGGTCAAGTCAGTTATCCACTGCTACTACAGGTGGCACCTGTATACCCCCACCACCTCCTTCACATCTGCTTGCTGGCCAATTACAAAGGTTACAAAGTTCTTCAAACCCCACCAAAAGTAACAACCTAGTTTTGCAGGTAAGATTTCTGTTTTTCCACAAAATTATTCATTATATGAAAACATCTGAAGGATTGCAGTATTTTTGCAGAAGTGTTTCTTTGTGATTCAGTTTTCTATAGTTCATGTATAATTTCAGTTTTGTAGATGGTATTCAATTTCAAAAGTCGTTTATATTAATAGTGTGGATATTTTGTGGTTATTTGAATAATCTCGATTCCGAATTGAAGGCGTTCTCTACAATCCCTCTTGATCACTTCATCGTGAACATGATTGCTGTGAATGAATAAAATGAATGAATAAGCATCCAGTAGCTCAAATAACGAAATTGATGTATTTTTTCTTCCATTTAGAGATTAGTGTCTATGGGAACTGTATCAAATAAAGTGTTAAAAGTGTTCACTTTTTAGTTTTGAGCATAGTTTTCTCATTTGTTCGTGTTATTGATTTAAAAAAATTCAGAAAATATATTTGAAACTCTACCTTTCAGTTTATTCACGATAATAATAACAACTTTGAATAGATGTTCTTATTAGTTTGTATTGTTTCAGGTAAAACGTACAACATTATCTAAAGAATATTTTTAAATTGATCTGGAAAGTTTTTTTGTTTCATTTTACATATCAGTAATATATTCATTATTCTTAATTTTCTTCTATGAGATGATTTTGCAAATATTCTGTAAAATATTTATATTTTTCATAGTGGTAATATTTAGAATAAGTTACCCACTGAAAAAAGACAACAATCACACCTACAATTGAAAATATTAGATTCAGAATTGAACTTCAAACCAATATATTCGATCAGAAGTTTTATCCACTTGGATTTGCTAAACTTTTGACCAGGATAATTATTTTATACTATTCTACCAATATCAGTTCTAAAATTGAAAGTTTTTTTTCAGACGCAAAATATATCCCTTCAACAAACAGCTATACAACAGACCTGGCTGAGTTCTACAACAACAAGTACTGATGCTCGCAGAATGTCAGAGCCATGTCATATGACAGACAGAAAGAGTCCTCCACCTCGCCCGGCATCGGTCTCCCTCTCTCCACTCAAAGGAACTGCCAGCTCCACAGAACTCCACCCCAATCAAGCTGTAGTTCTTGACGAAGTAGGGGAAGGTGAAATGGTTGAGAACAAGCTCGTCATTCCTGACGAAATGGTACGATATCTCAATCAAGTAGCAGATAACCAAACAGCGATGAGTTGGTCCGACAATCAGAAACCCCTAGGAAGTCCTCAAATGATACCTTCTCCAGTCAGCTTTCCTACGCTTCCTTCTCCACAGAATATGTCTCCATCTGGAATCAGTCAGATAATGCAATCGCCTAGTAGTTTGAATCAGATGATCCACTCTCCTTCAAGCAATCTAAATCAAATGCTATCGTCACCAGCACCTAATATAGTAAACATGGTACCGTCACCCTCAGCTAACTTGAACCAGGTGACACCTTCACCTTCTACAGCAAATCTGAATCAGATAATTCATTCCCCTGCTTCCAATATGAACCAAATGTTGCCTTCTCCTGCATCTAACATAAACCAAATAATGCCATCTCCAGCCTCGGTTACTCACATGATGCCATCTCCGGCCCCCAACCAGGTTATATCGTCTCCTTCCAACTACGCACCTTCCAATTATGGAGGAATGCAAAATTCTATGATGTCGCCTGGTATGACCCAAATGCCTGTGAGATGTAATTCTCAGACAATGCCGCCAGGAACCCCCAACACTCAAAACTGCAACATGATAAGCATGAACTGTTACAATAGGCCGGTTTCACATGTATCTTGTTATAATGTCCACTGGGATGGAAACGGATGTCAAAGTGTTAGTATGGTATCGCAACAGGATAATCATATGTGTAGGCAAATCAATATGAATCAAAATTATGGAGGAAATATGTCAAACCATTACTGTCAAAACCATAACTACAACCAGACCCATTACAACTGTAACAATTACCAGAATGGTTTCAATTGTGCACCAAATTTGTCAGAACCTCTCCCTTCTCCAGCAATGGCCACTCCTGCGCCTAACGAAGTGATGAATCACCCTCAACAAGCACAAATGAACAGGCCATGTTTGCATTATGTTCAAAATTGTTATCCCACACCACCTTACACCAATCAATGCATTCCACAACCACAGCAAACTTGTAATAACTGCCAAAACTGCAGAAAGGCTACTTACAACCAGTGCGGTAGTAATGAAATACAATGTAAAGACATCAGCCAATCTCAGATGTCACCAGGTATAGCGAACGGTAACAACACGAATGCAATGCATGGAATGAGACAGGACACTTATCAAAGGACTTTAGAGTACGTTCAGAATTGTCAGTCGTGGGTAAATAATTCTGAGGTTGTTAGTAGTAGTACTCATCCGTTGAAACCTGGTGATAAGGCCAGTTCAAACATGGTTGTTAATGACATGACATCCTCGCTGAGTTCTCTTTTGGAGGAAAACAGGTATTTGCAAATGATTCAGTAGTTTAAAATTACCTAAATTCTTTATAGCACTGAAGACTGTACAAATGTTCATTGTAATAAATGTATATTGTGATATGTATATTGTTTCAGCAATATTTCAATTCAAAAAGGGCTTTAACAATTTTTGTATATGAACAAATTTTATTCTACCAATTTTTTGACACATTTTATTTATATTTCTTGTAAAGGGGTCTGTATAATAATTTCAATTCATTTCTTTCCAATTATTTCTCTCATCTAGGTGTAGTAAAAAAATCTGGAGTAGAGAAATACATAATTCAAGTGTGTGTACAATACAATAAATGAGGTTACCACAACTCATATTCCAGATAAAACCCGATTGATACATTCAAATATCAAACTCAAATTGAAACTTGGTTCAATGCAAGTCTGCCACACAACTAAAAAAACATTTGATCTTTTAAGTGGTTATATATAAAATTATACTGGGAAGCAATTTACTCAAAACAAAAACTGTACAAAAAGTTCAAGCTTAGGTCAAGACTTGTAACTTAAGCTTCATCAGAGAACTAAACAAGAAATTATTCTTGAGTTGCTTCAAATTAAGAATAGTATCAATTGTATTAGCAAGGTCATGTTGCTAAAAATGTTTATCACACCATAAATAATTGTCTGCTGAAATTTTATTTCTTGAAATTAGGTGTTCTTCAATAATTGTAATGAACTCTTAACCGTCCGGTAGTCGCGCCACTGTCTGTGAGACCGGGTCATCCCTTTTTATGACGTAAACACTAAGTTACATATCAAATTTGGCTGAACGGCCTTGTACCTTCACCTTGTACCAGATGTCACAAAAGTGACATCTGGTAAGGAGAGACATTGTCTATTAGACAATTCAATGGAAGTAAGTTAGTGCCAAAAATGAAAGAAAATATTCATTTTCAGTTCATCATAAATTCGATTGGGAGCGCGACCCTAGATACATAATGTATATTTTCATTTCACTTCACGCATTAAATTCACTCCAATTTGACCAAAAGTCGTGGCAACCCTGTAATACCCATTTAAACGGAACTCCCAGATCAGAATTTCCATATATTTGTATTGAAGTCTGAAAAGTTGAAGTTGATAAACTATAAAAAAATTATAACTAAATCATAAGCAGTAACGATAACATTATAAATTTGAACATTACCGATTAAAGTTCCAGGGTTTCTCAATTCTGCTCGAATT